TTACTTTTCAAATTTAAAATAAAAAACTTAGATTATAAATACCAACAATTTTATAACCATCTCATTCCTCAAAAACACTCAAAACTCTTTCTAGTTTCTTATCTCTTCTTGAAACCATGGATTCAAATAAAAATACATCATTCACTCCAAACACGCTAACAACCCCAAACACTCCAAATGATCCATATCTACATCTTAACTACATACAAATATTAACATCACCAATCCAACAACCTCTATTTATTGATATTCCATATCAACCAAACTACTTCCAACAACAAAGACCACAATAATTCAATCAACGCTAATTCTAAACTTTTCAACAATTTCAAAACCCAAAAGCTTCGCAACCTCAACAATTGCAACCATATGAAAACTTCTCAACATCAACAATTTCAAACATGACCATCTTATGTCCCATTTTCTCAATTCCAACCTATAAACTCGACAATGAAAACGATGAAATGGTCCAAGAAACACAAAAACCATCTACAAGAAGGCAACAAAAAGGAAAAGCAACAAAAAGAAAATACGACTTGGAATGAAGATGAGGAGGAAGCTCTAACTGGATCATGACCCGGAAAAGCTAGCTACGTTTCTAAAAATTCAACAAGTCCGCTAAAAATATACAAATTAGGTTTTAAGGTTTTTAATTTTCTGTTTATTATTATTATTATTATTATTATTATTATTATTATTATTATTATTAATAAGTAATTTATGTTTAAATTTCTATGATTTTATGTTTTTTTAGTGATTTAGGTTTAAAAATTTATGTTTTTTTTAGTAATTCGAGTTTAAAATTTAAGTTATATAATGTGTTTTTAAAAAAAGTGAAATATTTATTTATGTTTTTTTATTTAATCTAAATTTCAATATAAAATAAAAATAATAGAAAGATAACAATATGGAATGGTAACCAATTCCAAATGCTATTGAACATGTAGTGGGTGATGCCCATACCTATAACCTTATTATTGTACATCTCATTAGCCTAATGCTCCTACTGTTTTCATGGACCTTATGAACCGCGTATGAAGACCGATGTTGGATTGGTCTATGATCGACTTTATTGATGACATCTTGCACTACTAGAAAAAAAGGGTGTTTTCCTACGGATAATAGCTACGGAAAATTTCCGTAGCTAATTAGCTACGGAATGGCTACGGATTAGCTACAGAATGGGACGCCCTAATTTAGTAACGGAATAGCTACGGAATAGCTACGGAATAACTACGGATGTAATTCTGTAGGTATTCCGTAGCTAATTAGCTACGGAATAGCTACGGAATCACTACGGATGCCACTCCGTAGCCATTCTGTAGCTAATTAGCTTCGGAATAGCTACGGAATAGTTACGGATGTTAACCCGTAGCTATTCCGTAGCTAATTAGCTACAAAATGGCTACGGAATAGCTACGGACATAATATTAAACCATTAAATGAATAAAGGATCTCGAAGGTGCAAACGACTGTATCAACACTATTAATGACTATAAGTTGTTGAAAATAAAGATAATCGTGTATAATAGAGGTGGGAAAAAAACGAAGAGAAAAAAACGATGTTTAATGCCCGGAAAATAAAAAATAATAAAAATCCGTAGCAACTCCGTAGCTAATTAGCTATGGATTAGCTACATAATTTTTTTATTTTCTATTTTTCAGGCACGAAACGTTGTTTTTTTCGCTTCATTTTTTTTACACCTCTACTATACATGATTATCTATACTTTCACCAACTTATACATATTAATATCATTCATAAAGTCGTGTGCACCTTCAGGATCAAGTATTCGTTTCACAGTTTTAACAATGTAATTACTATACTTTTCACCAAATTGTGATGAATTTATTTTTGTATATGTATATTTACATACATGAAAGACTTGTGGTATATGTGTACGTGTATGTGTGTTTGTATACGTGTTTGTTCCTATTTATATGTGAATGTAGATCATAAGCGTGCTAAACCATTAAACGAGTAATTGATTTCGTATGTGCACACGACTTTATGAATGATATTAATAGCTATAAGTTGGTGAAAATATAGATAATCATGTATAATAGAGGTATGAAAAAAACGAAGCGGAAAAAACGACGTTTGATGCCCGAAAAACTGAAAATAAGAATTATCCGTAGCTATTCCGTAGCTAATTAGCTACGGAATAGCTATGGAATGTGCTTTCCGTTAGAATTCCGTATCTAATCCGTAGCTAATTAGCTACGGAATAGCTACGGATAATTCTTATTTTCAGTTTTTCGGGCATCAAACGTCGTTTTTTCTGCTTCGTTTTTTTCACACCTCTATTATACATGATTATCTCTATTTTCACCAACTTTTAGCTATTAATATCATTCATAAAGTCTTGCGCACCTTCGGGATCAAGTACTCGTTTAATGGTTTAAG